CATCGTGTATTAATTACCATAGCTTTGTATTAAGTTGAAACCAGTTAATGTGAGTTCTTCAACTTTTTCTTTTTGAAGATTTTTTGGGCTGTTCTCAGACCTTACCAATTCCATGTGAATTTTGGGATTAGCATGCTAGTTTCTACAAAGAAAATAACCTAAATGTTAATGAGTTACATCGAATCTGAAGATCAATTTGGAGAGTTTTTTGGTGTTAACAGTATTAAGTCCCCTGATCCATGAACATGGAATGTCTTTCCATTTAATTACTTTTTTCAATAATGTTTTATAGTTTCCACTTTTTAAGTTTTACACGTCTTTTACTCCTGTTTTTTTCTTTTTGATGATATTATAACTGAGACTTTCTTAATTTCATATTCAGTTTGATCATTGCTACTGTATAGAAATAAAATACAGTTATTCCATTTTAAAAATTGATTTTGTATGTTGATTTGTATCTTGCAATCTTGGTGAACTTCTTTGTTCTAATAGTTTTTAATGGACTCCTTAAACTTTTCTGTATAGAAGAGTATGTCATATGCAAATAGCAATAATTGTACTTCTTCCTTTCCAATTCAGGTATCTTTGTATTTCTTGTCTAATCACTCAGCCAGAGCTAGCTAGAACTCCAGTACAATGTTGCATAGAAGCGGCAAGAACAAACATCGTGTTTTTCTGATCTTATGGGGAAGCTTTTAGTTTTACAGTATTGAGCGTGATGTTATTTGTGTGTTTTTCGTAGATTCCCTTTATTAAGTTGAGGAAGTTCCCTCTAGTTTATTGACTTCTTTTTTTTTTTTTTAAATCATGAAGAGGTGTTGAATTTTCTCAAGTGTTTTTTCTGCACCTATTGAAACAATATGTGATTTTCCCCCTTTATTCTATTGATGTGGCATATGAACATTAATTGACTTTCACATATGAAACCAGCCTTGCATTTTTGGAATAAATCCTTCTTGGTCATGGTCATATTTATATATTACAAAATTCAATTTGTGAATGTTTTGTTGAGGATTTTTTGTGTCTATATTCATAAAAGAGGTATAGGCCTATAGCTTTCTTGTGATGTCTCTTGTTTTGGTATTGGGTAAATAGTGGCCTCGTAGAAAGTGCAGTAAATTGTTTTCTCTTCCAATTATTGGAAGAGTTTAGGAAGAACTGGTACTAATTATTTAAAATTTTGATAGAATTCACCAGTGAAGCTATGTAATCCTATGCTTTTCTTTAAGGGAGGTTTTGATGATCAGTCTTATATAGGTCTATTTAGATGTTCTTTTTTTTTTTTTTTTTTTTTTTTTGAGACGGAGTCTCGCTCTGTCGCCCAGGCTGGAGTGCAGTGGCCGGATCTCAGCTCACTGGCAAGCTCCGCCTCCGGGTTACCCATCTCCTTGTCTTCGAGCCTCGCGAGGTAGCTGGCATACAGGGCGCCCGCCACCCGTCGCGCGGCGGCGGCTTAGTTTTGTATGGTGGTTGAAGTAGTGACGGGGGTTTCGACCGTTAGGCGCAGGAGGGGGTGCTCGATTCCTGACCTCGCTGATGCCGCCCGTCCGCGTGTCAAAGGCGGGATTACAGGCTTGAGCCACTGCGGCGCGCCCGGCCTATTTAGTTATGTTTTAACTTCGTTGACTAGTTGTATCATTTCTAGGCATTTGTTTATTCATTCTGAGTGTATATTATATTGTGCAATATAGTTGTTCAATAGTATTTTACTAGTTTTTATTTCAATGGTTTGGTGTTGAGGAGGTTCGTGCCTCTTTAAGTGTCCCGGCGGTGTTAGGAAACTGGACTTGCTGTGTTTCCTAAGCAGAATGACTAAAAGTTGTCTATTTGGTAAATTTTTTAAATGAGAACTGTGGGTTTGTGCTGTAGAAATATGCTTGGCAGGGTGTTATAGAAGTTCAAAGATTGGTTGGCTGTTCGTTTGGCTTGCTGGGGTAGTGGTCACTTTTTTTGCCAGTGCTAAGAGGACAGGTGCAGGTGTCTGATTTGAGGGTCTGTTGTAGGTGATGGGTGTTCGGCGGGAGATAAGAGTTTCCTCCCATCAGACTGCTTTGCTGAATCCCACAGTTTTGGTAGGGTTGTGTTGTGGGTTGGCATTATCTCAAAGTTCTAACCTTCCGTAAGACTTTTGGGGGGAGGTGGCCCGGGTTATTATGACATGGGTGTTAATTTCTGCACTAGTTATGAATTTCCCAACTCTTTGTTGATTTCATATAATCCCAATTGCAGAAGAATGCGATTGATTGCAATCGCTTAAATTACGGAGCTCTATCTTAAGACTGGAGGCGTACGGGGGCGGGAGGGTGGTCCGGTGGCGCGGAGAAGAGTAGGGTGATAGCTCTGCGGGGGCTGGGTGAAGAGTCCTTCTGTCAGACTTGTATAATGGATTCCATCCAGCAGGAATTAATGGCGCAGTTTGCCGCCCGATGGTTATTGCGCTCCTTCACAGTCTGATTGCTAGAATCGCAGAGCTATGCTGCCCTGCCGTTAACTCAAAGATGGTTTTCATACTTTTGTCTCTTTTCTTTTTTTTTTTTTTTTGTTGGAGACGGCTGAGGTCTCGCTCTGTTCCCCAGCTGAGTGCGAAGCTCGGATTCTTGGCTCACCACAACCTCCACCTCCCGGTTCAAGTGATTCTCCTGCCTCAGCCTCCCGAGTAGCTGGGACTACAGGTGTGCACCCCCTTGCCCAGCTAATTTTGTGTATTTTTAGTAGAGACGGGGTTTCACCATGTTGTCCAGGCTGGTCTTGAACTCCTGACCTCGTGATCTGCCCGCCTCAGCCTCCCAAAGTGCTGGGATTACAGGCTTGAGCCACCGCGCCTGGTCCACATTTTTTTTTACTAGCTGAAAAACATCAAAAGAATAATAATATTTCATGATGTGCGACAGTTATAAAATTCAAATTTTAGTGTCCATAGGTAGAGGGGTTTTTGTTTTTGTCTTTAATGCCATTTCGTTCATTACATATTGTGTCTGGCTACTTCCTTGCTACAGGAACAGGGTTAAGTGATTGGGAGACCAGATGACGCATAAGCCTAAGACATTTACTCTTTGGCACTTTATGTAAAGTTTGCCAACTCCTGGTCTAATATGTCCACTATGACTTTGTTATGTATACTCAGTCTGGCCAGTGAGTATGCCTAAACACGGAGCACACACCTACCCTTAGCTGTGGAGGCTACTGTTGCTCTTCCTCTTTGCTCAATTTCCTGGGGAGGGAGGGGCAGGATCTGCGTGGAGCCTGGCAGCTGTAGGTCCCCAGGGATGCTGGCCCTGGGGGGACCAGTGGTACATGGTTAAGGAGGGAGGGGAAAGAAGTGCACTGTGCTCCACCAGACTCCTGCCTCGGCTCTAAGGAAACGGAGGAAAGCAAACAGACGTACTCTGGTTTAGTATACTGCCCGCTTCTGGAGCGGAAATTGGGCAGGAGGAGGGGGGAGCATTAAACATAGCTTTCCTACAAGACATAATCTCTTTGCCCCTTTTCATTTAAAACTCTTAAACTATTTCTGCAAAAATGTCATTATATGGACTTTTCCAGAAACATGTCTTTTACTTACATTGAAATACACCCTCATACACAACTATTCACAAGTGAAAGAGCAGGGGAAGCATGACTTTCAAAAGCTTTCCCTGCTCTGATGTGGCCTGCGTGGCCTCGCACTTGCTGACCTGACATTAATTACTGAGTCTGTGGAGATCTGTCAGACGTGAAATCGGCCCTGTGATGAGCTAAGATCTTTCTGTTCCTAATCCTTTTTGCTCGGAAGCAGTAATATATCTTTAATTTTAGGGCTGTTCAGTAGTTAACGGCTTCAATTTTCTGTATCTCAGGTAGATAAACTGGAGAGTTTTTTGTTTCTTTGAGAGTAGATGAAATGATGGGGATTGGAGTATTCTCCTGTTCTCTACGATCATCTGCACTTCTACTCATTAGGCTCAAGTATTTGGGGATGTTAGAGAACCAGGCATGCCATTGTGTAGTCCGACCTACCTCTAACTGCCAGAAATGTACTGATATTCTTAATAATTGATAGGCTCAGACCTTTGCATTCTTAATTAAAGAGCCACTCCGTGACTGTAGGCCTCTGCCCACAAGATACAGAGTCACATACTGCCCCCAGGATGCAGGCTGATGCTTTTATATTAACTGCAGATGTAACAACAGATTCTAGGTATTTCTCCAGTAACGTATGGAGGCACTATGTCAGATAATTCTTGTTCATGTGAGTTGTGGAAGATCTCGCTTCCATTTGCACTTCAGATGTTAAGGTAGTAGAATTTGTCACAGTCATAAAACATGCTTACAAGGCAGGGTTGTGTGAATTGACAAATTTGATCCAGAATGTATTGGTCATCCATTTCAACGATTAACAGCACCTCCATTGAAAGATGTTAGTGTAAAATTAATTAAAACCAAGATTTGAAAATAATAATCCGATCACTCTAGACTGTTTTGTTACAATCAAGTGTGATGTTCTCTGTTGACCTTTTTAGTTTTAATTGAGTGCTTCTGAATGATACAGATCATATGTTTCTTTGACGGCAGTGTCACACCGCAGAAGGTTCTCAGCCCCTGGTAGCTCGTTGCCGTCACCACTCCAGGCTGTTGCTTGGGTGTCTGCTGCTGGTACCCTGGGATTACCAGGCACAGCTGCAGATGCCTCGAGCTGCTCCAGCCATGAGCATGAAAACCAACTCGCTGTCGTCAGGCTTCAACACAGAAATAACAGAGAGCCCCTTCCAGTCACAAGAACCATAAGTCACCTAATGCATATCCACACGTTCTCAGCATAAAAATGTTGTGTCTTGTTTGACTGACTTTCAGGGAAATTGCTTACACCCCAAATGGCCTATTACTGTTTTATTGGGGTTGGAGAAGAGATCATTTTTATAATCTTTTGTGGTTTTTGCTATTTTTGATGTTTCCTAATTAAACTTGGACTTTTACCCCAAATTTTGATTTTTTAAAAACTATTTTTTTCCTTTTATAAACAGGTTGAAAGGATTGTTGACAAAAGGAAAAATAAAAAAGGGAAGACGGAGTATTTGGTTCGGTGGAAAGGCTATGACAGCGAGGACGACACTTGGGAGCCGGAGCAGCACCTTGTGAACTGTGAGGAATACATCCACGACTTCAACAGACGCCACACGGAGAAGCAGAAGGAGAGCACATTGACCAGAACAAACAGGACCTCTCCCAACAATGCTAGGAAACAAATCTCCAGATCCACCAACAGCAACTTTTCTAAGACCTCTCCTAAGGCACTCGTGATTGGGAAAGACCACGAATCCAAAAACAGCCAGCTGTTTGCTGCCAGCCAGAAGTTCAGGAAGAACACAGCTCCATCTCTCTCCAGCCGGAAGAACATGGACCTAGCGAAGTCAGGTATCAAGATCCTCGTGCCTAAGAGCCCCATTAAGAGCAGGACCGCAGTGGACGGCTTTCAGAGCGAGAGCCCCGAGAAACTGGACCCCATCGAGCAGGGTCAGGAGGACACAGTGGCACCCGAAGTGGCAGCAGAAAAGCCTGTCGGAGCTTTATTGGGCCCCGGTGCCGAGAGGGCCAGGATGGGGAGCAGGCCCAGGATACATCCACTAGTGCCTCAGGTGCCCGGCCCTGTGACTGCAGCCATGGCCACAGGCTTAGCTGTTAACGGGAAAGGTGAGTGTCTAGGGAGCTGCCTCCCGCTCCGTGGTGATCCCAGAGGGCGTGGGTCCTTCTCTAGAGATCAGGCCTCGAGCTATGGAGCGTCCGGGGATTCTCGCGGCATCTGCTGGAGACTTGCAGAGATTTTGCCAGCTTCTCCTTTCTTCGCTTGAAGCCTTTGGTATTTCTCTTAATTCGGCACTAGTTGTCTCTGTGTAATTCGCCATCCACAGACCGTGCTACCACACTGACTTGCTTTAAACTGTATCTCCCTCTAACTAGGTTATTAGGGGAGTAAGTTTTTACAGCAAGTTTCTGAAGCTGTATACCTTTCTTCACCTCTTAAGTGCTGAGTCTTGTCTCATGTTAAGCGTTTTCTTCTAAGTGTGGCCAGCGTTGATATAGAAATGCTGGTTCTTATCTTGCTCATCCGTTTGAATACCCAGGAATGCCTTTCAGTGGGGGCACTGCTAACCCATTAGGACCTTTGGGAGCCGGGCTCGTTTCTCTGTTGTGATCGGCAGTGCAGGTGCCATTGCTCCCCCTGTCAGAGCCTGGTCTGCCTGGCACCGGTGGTGTCCTCTGTTTTACTCTCACACCCAGCCCTGCTCCTGAGTTCTGCAGCTGCCTTGGTTGTGCCGTGACCTGTCCATCTCCCAGGACAGCACAACTGGGAGTTCACACAGGTGGCTTCCTTCTCCTCACTTGCCATGCTGTGCTGGCCACAGTTTTCTCTTACAAGTCCTCATGACTTCTCACCTGCTGGAGCTTTCTAATAGGGCTTCCTGCTTCCTGCTTCCTGACAGCTCCCATCCCTTTTCAGTCATTCTTGGACGAGAGTGGTGTCCACTGGTACCTCCACCCCATTGCCTTCAGTAGCAGGTGTGCCCTGTGTGTCTGCGACCCGGCCCTCCCCTGCCCTCTGGCTCCCTCTCTCTGTCAGCACCAGGGCCGCACGTTGTCCCGTCTTCTCCATCTGCTCAGGGGCCCCCCACCACCTGGCCCTCTCCTCTCTCTCCTTTCTGAGTTGTAGTCTTAAAATTGCCTCTTTAGCCGGGCGCGGATTGCTCACGCCTGTAGTGTCAACACTTTGGGAGGCCGAGGAGGGCAGATCGCTTGAGGTCAGGAGTTCGAGACCAGCCTGGCCAACATGGTGAAAACCTGTCTCTACTAAAAATACAAAAATTAGCCAGGTGTGGTGGCGTGCACCTGTAATCCCAGCTACTCAGGAGGGTGAGGCACGAGAATTGCTTGAACCCAGAAAGCAGAGGTTGCAGTAAGCTGAGATGGTGCCTTTGCACTCCAGCCAGGGTGACAGAGTGATTCTCCGTCTCCCCCCCAAAAAAAAAAAAATTGTCCCTTTACCTGTGTTTGTCTCCCCCAGCCCAAGCTCAGTAGAATAATAGCAAACAAAATACAATGGTGTTGGTTTGTTTGGGGAGCTGCTTTCCTCTAAAGAGACGTGTTCACTAAGACATTCTAACCATCCTGCTGTGGTGCATTCAGCAGATTTTCTCCTTGGTCCAGGCCCTTGTGTAGCAAAGAAGTGGAATATGAACTGAAATCTGGGGTTTCCCTTCGACAGGAAGGTGCCATCTTGCCAGTGTTTTTCAGATACACACTTGACCCAAACGGTGCCTTTTCGAGCTCCGTTGGAGCTTGTGAACTTGTTTGCAGGTTTGACTTCCTATGTTGCTGACCTCATGAGGACAGTTTTCTCTGACTTAGTTGTGCGTGAGGAATCAGTGAAGTTCAGAGGTAGAAGGGACTCACTCAATAGCACGCTCTGTTCTGAGGTTAGGGAGGTTGAGTCCAGAGAGGTGATGCTCCTGGAGAGAACTGAAGCCAGAAGGGGAGCTGGAGCGCGCACCTTCGCGCCTCACTGGCGCTCTTCCCAGCATTGCTTGTTGCCTCCTGGACAGATAAGCACCTCCGTCTTCATTGATAACTTAGGGGCCAGGCACGGTCCTGGACTGTAGTGCTGCCAAAAAGGACTGACGATGTATAGCCCGTGGGCTTGGCCCTGCCCCGCTCCTGGTTTTGTATGGCCTGAAGGCTCAGAATGGATTTTACATTTCCTAATGTTTGAAAAAAAAAATCAAGAGGAATATTTACTAACGTGAAAACATAAGAAATTAAGATTTCTGTGTTCATACATAAAGTTTTATTGGAACACAGCTAACCATCCATTACTATGAATGAATGGAGCTCTGCATTCATTTACTTCCACCACCAATCCTGGCTAATTTTTGTATTTTTAGTCGAGACAGGTTTCACTATGTTGGCCAGACTGGTCTCAAACTCCTGGCCTCAAGTGATCCACCTGCCTCGGCCTCTCAAAATGCTGGATTACAGGCATGAGCCACTGCATCTGACCTACTTGGCTACACCTGATCTCTGCTCTTAGGAGGCTGTAGATCTGTGGGCCACCTTTTTTGTCCACAAAAGTAGTGTGTGTGTGTGTGTTTGTGTGTGTGTGTGCATATATATATATAGAGAGAGAGAGAGAGAGAGTGTGTGTGTGTGTGTGTGTGTGTACACTTTTTGTTGTGGGAACCCTTGATTTTCAAAACTTTGCGCCAACATGGTTAAGAGCCGTAGTCGTTAACCCGCACGTCCTGTTTTGGTTGGTCACCACCTCCAGTGCGGTCTTGCTGGTTCCCCCTCGTGTGTGAGTTCTTTCCAAATGAACTGCAGCCCTCGCCAGATCCACATTCCACTTTCACCACGTGTGAAACAATTGGCAGCAACAACCTTCATTCCTTTATATTTCTTATATAAGGAAGGTAATAGCTTCCATTTAAATGAGGATTTAGTGACTTCCTTTCTAAAAAGCATCCACACGTGTGGCATTGGTTAAACCAAAAGGGACGTGTAAGCATAGAATCTTAAATTATTTTACCTTGTTCTGTGGAGTTGGGAGGTTGGAGTGGGAATGACAGTATTTTTCCAAGGCCCTCACCATCATTTTTCTCCGAGGCTATGATCTCTACCCCTCTCTCACTTCTGCCTGGGCGCTGGTCAGATCAGCCCTGAGCCGTGTATACTACTGAGAATATAGTCTCTAGTTAGAGGAAAATAGAAGCCGTTAGGGAACATTTTTAGGACAGTGGTGAATGACATCCCCTGTGGCCTTGATCTAAATCAGGCTTGCAGATTAACGAGGAGGAGGTCTTTCTGGAGGGAAAGCAACTGCAAAGCTGGTGGAACCCCTGACAGCGGGCCTCCTGCGGATTCGGGAGGGTTGGTGCTGTCGCTGCCCTGGTCCCTGTGCAGGGAAGAGCTTTGTTATACTCTCTGCTAGAACGTAAGCTCCAAGAAAGCATTTTGTTTTTCCAGACTAAATCAAACTGTGCCCAGAATGGCACCTGCCGTGTAGTCGGTGCTCTGCAAGTACTTGTGGATGGGATGATTCCTGTAGAATGGGTGCGCGTGGAAGACAAGGGTTGTAAGGAGTCATTTGTGGCCTGGATCTCTGGCTCAGAGAGGAGGGAAGGAGAGCAGGAGGGGAGAAATGCCAGAAACACAGACATGTCAGAAAGCCCTCGTTCGCCCTCCGGCACGTGCTTCCTGAATGAGAAGCCACGCTGAAGCTCTGTTAGGCTGTTGGTCCACACTCAGACACTTTTTAAGCAGTTGTTTGCTTTTACTTTCCAGATTAATTTTAGAGCTACGTAAGGAAACGGATTTGTTTTTCTAGAACTAATTGAAGTAGATACTGGTGGAGTCATTGGGAACGAACCATCCCCTATGCAAAACACTGGTCATGTGTGCCGAGGGGATATTTTTGCCACCAAAAACCACAGATACTTGAATATCTGTGAACCCAAAGAAGGAATGTATCTGGAGTATTTTCACACACACTCACTTACTTTTATAGAACAACCGTATATGTGTTTGCTTTTTAATTATCTTAAGTATGACACAAAGGTTTAAATGATGAATATATTATTTCACTCAGAAATGTGAGAAATTCTAAAATTTAGGTGGTACAGCTTGCTGTCCTCTTTCTGTCTATCCATGTTAATGGTGATTTCTTGCTCCTTTAATTCCCTAATGAATTAATCCTACAAAAGAAGTAATTGCTTTTAAAAACTGGATTATCATGACTTTGCTCTTTCATGAATTCGAACATGTAATTCATCATCATTCCGTAAGTATGAAATTTCAGAAAATGCTAGTAGCAAACTTAAATAGGTGTAAACCTTATCAGTGTTGTGACATAGGGTTGGCTTTTGGACTTCATATTGAAGCCGACAGACCTAGTAGGAAAATGACTGAGGAAATATTAATACCTTAGCACACGTTGCATTTCATGAACATTTCAACCAAATAAGCTCCTGAGAGAAAGTGTTCAGGAAAACCTGGCTGCTTCTGAGGAGCTGAAGTGTGGTTTCCTCTCAGTAAGAACGTGAATAGATGATCCGTCTCCCTTTCCTCTGTGATTATCAGGGAAGTGTAAGAGGCACAGCTGCCCTCTAGAAAGAGACCCCAGGGCTTTATAGGGCCTTTTTGATTTAATCTTAGAAATTAGAACTTAACCCCAGGGAAGGTTAAGAAATCAGGAGACCGGGCCAGGTGTGGTGGCTCACACCTATAATCCCAGCACTTTGGGAAGCTGAAGCTGGAGGATAGCTTGAGGCAAGGAGTTCGAGACCAACCTGGGCAGCATAGTAAGACCCCATCTTTATAAAAATGAAAAATATTTTCGTAGGTTTTAAAAATGTGTTTAAAAAAAAATTATCCAGGCATTGTGACTACATGCTGCCTGTAGTCCCAACTGCTTAAGAGGCTGAGGTGGGAGGATTGCTTGAGCCCAGTAACTCAAGGCTCCAGTGAGCTACGGTGGCACCACTGCACTCCAGCCCGTTCCACAGAGCAAGACCCTGTTTCAAAAAAAAAAAACCAAAAAGTTAGCAGACCAGTGCCCAAAGGTAGCAGCTATTCCCTGGAGCCACAGCAGAAAACCTCCACTTGAAAAGAGAAGACATTTGAAGTCAAGTTGCAGCAAATTA